GGGTTTTTTTTTTTTATTCTCCTAGGGTTATATAGCTCGTAATTATTATAACTGGGATTTAACCCAGGCAGTTTGACTCTTAAGTAGTAAGCAATACCATATCTTTAAACCAAAAATAGTAAAAGAATAAGTGAAACCTTTTTCTTTTTTAAGAAAAAGTACTCACACATGGGATATCCGTGAGATAAGCCTGGAATGAGAAGGAAAATACAGCAGCAATTAGAAATTAAGAAAACAGCGTGTGCGCCTGCATGACCATAAACTTAGATCGGCTCCTTAACAAACATGACGCAAATCAAAATAGAGGTTTTTAAAATGTGGCTTAATGCGTTCATCAGTTTTTGTTGTCTTTTTGATGTTTTGACTAAGACATTGTTTCTATCCAGATATTCTTCCTAACGTTTCGCTTTTCAAATATTTAGGTTTAGGTCCAGCTGGGCAGGGATTGGCGTCTTACTTGCCATTACAAGGACAGGAGCTTTAACAGAGCACATAGGTTAAATGAATTAATGAGAGGTCGCAGTAGGCACTAAGTGAGTATCTGTTAGATAAGTTAGCGAGGGGCTGCTGTGTGCGAGCCCTGAGGAGAGGAGTGCCTGTGGTGTTCTTGCCCACCGCAGCACAGCCCATAAATACTTGCGCTGGAGCAGAACCAAGGTCCACCAACAGGTGGATGTGTAATCAAACGGGTACAGCCACACAGCCAAATTCTACTCCGCAATAAAGAGGAGTGAGGTACCAATAGTCATGCTAAGCAGAAAATGCAAACTAATCTAATGACAGAAAGCAGACCAGTGGTGACAGGAGGATAAGGAGGATATCCTATATAATAAAGAGCTAATATGCAAATTGTTGTCATGCCCTCACGCCAGGGCTGGGGGACCTGAGGCTGTGTCCCCCACCTAGCAGGGCTTGACGGGGGGACCTGAGGCCACACCCCCGGCCCTGCAGGGCTTGACAGGGGTGGGGCCAGCTGGGTCTGGGTCTTGCATGATTTCGAGGCACATGTGGGTGGGTGGGGACTTGACTCTGCGTCCTGTGGCACGCCCCAGACTCTGACAGGAGGGATATTTTCACATATATTTTACTAATTTTCTTTCATCTCTGACACTTCTATTATAGAGAAAGGGCAAATAGCAATATTAAAATATTTCCTCTAATTAATTCCCTTTAAATGTGCACAAATTTCATGCACCAGGCCACTAGTCTAGAATAATAAAAGTGTGATATGCTAATTAGACCAGACAGCTGAATGACCTTCCGGACATAGCCACAGCAGTGGGGGCCGAGGCAGAGACTGTTAGGGGTGATCAGACAGGCAGGTGAGCAGTTAGGGGAGATCAGGCAGGCAGGCAGGCAGGTGAGGGGTTAGGCG